CTCTGTTTTTTATAAAATATGCAAAAAACATTTTGACATATTCTATATTGGATAGATTTTTGTTATTTCCTCATTGTAACCCAGTTATAACCATATAAAATGCTAATATTTTCTGTAATATGGCCAGAAACCACTCCAGTTTTGAATATGGAAGGGACATTTTGACATTTTAGCAATTATCCTGTTTTTATTTTTTAAGAATACAATAGTGCCTTGGTATATGCAGGTGATTGGTTCCAGGACCCCTGTGTATACCAAAATTGGCACATATTCAAGTCTTGCAATCGGCATTGTGGAGTCTGGGTACAGGAAAAGCGGACCCTTCATGTAAGTGGGTTTCACATCCTGTGAATATTGTATTTTTGATCACCATTTAGTTGAAAAAATAATCTGTGTATAAGTGGAACCACACAGTTCAAACCCATGTTGTTCAAGGTCAGCTGTTTTGATAATTGGCAAATGTTTATTGGATACCTACTACAAGCTAAGCAGTGTGCTAGAAAGAAACAGGAGATCTAGTGCAAATAAAGCGATGTCTTGGCTGTCTTGAGCTTATACTTTATTGTGGAAAACAACAAAGAAAGAAAAAGCAGAAGAAAGGGTAAGAGGTCGGAGAAATATAGGCAGTAGAGATCTGGTTATTTAGGTAGAGTGGCTATGGAAAGATTCCTTCACAAGATGACATTTAGGTGGAGAACTGAAAGAAGTGAGAAAGTGAGCTATGCAGGCCAGTGGAGGAAGATGCTTTAGGCAGAAAGAACAGTAAATGAAAAGGCTTTGAGGCTAGCTTGATGACTTTGAGAAACAGCATGGAGGCCCGTATGACTGGAGTATAGTAAATGAGAGGGAGGGAGGTAGGAGATGAAATCAGAGGCCATGATAGTCACTTCTTATCCTGAGTGATAAGAGAAGCCATTGGAGGGTTTTGCAAAAGAGTGACATGTCTGATTAATGCTTTAAAAGGATAATTTCCTTGAAGTTTAATGATTTTACCTATGTCTTGGCATTCTTCATTCTGTGTGATTTTTACAGTTTATCCTTTCTATTTGTATATTATTTTCATGTATAGTTTTCTTGTAGTATGTCATTTGGTACATTTTCTTTTTCTACCATTTCTATTCTTTAGGTACACCAACTAGGTAAATGCTGGATCTCCATTTTGTTTTTTTCTATGTTGGTTGTTTGCTCTTATAATTTTTACTTGCTCATAATGTCATTTCTTTCCCTTAATCTCATCCATAGATTGCTTTGTGCAAAAATGGTTTGCATAGTTTTTTCATTCAGCATAATCTTTCTTGCTTCTTTTTCGTGCCAGATTATGTTGAAAGAAGCTGCAGTTAGAACGTGTACATCTGTTGTTATTGAACCAGTTGTGTTATTTGCATGCCACTTAGTTTGTGTAAGTGTTTTCTGATGACATTTTCTAGGATTTCCAGCCATGAGACTTCTTCTTCTGGACTATTCCTGTAATTATATTTGTTCTTCACTCAGTTTTGTGGGATGTCTCATATATTTTGAGTCAGGAGAACACATGCCTTATATGTTTTACAATTTCAATATATGGGGCATCTGCATGTCTATTTCTATTTTCTGTTTTTTCCTCTGATTTTATTTCTTGGTATGCCTGTTATTTTGTGATTATTTGCCAAACATTATGCACAGAAATATTAAAGGCTCTGGATGCTGTTATCTTCTTCCAGAGAGGCTCTTCTGTCTCTTCTGAGAGGCAGCTGGTGTAGAGACAGATCACTGGATCCATTCAGGGACTGAATTGACTCAAGGCTGAGTTGCAGTCTTTGTAATCTTTGGTATGCTTTTGACTAACTTTCGCTCCTAGTGGTAGTCCTCAACACAGGTCTCAACTGAAAGCCTGTGATATTATTAATACTAGGAGCTCTCCTCCTTGGACAATCTATTTTACTTCTAAGTACAGTGATACTGCGGAAAACTCTAGTGTGCTTTTCTGAGTTTTTTTTTTTTTTTTTTTTTTTTTCACTTGGTTTCTTGGCTTCCTGCCCTGTAAATGCTAAGAATTTGACAAATTCGGCCAGGCGCAGTGGCTCATGCCTGTAGTGCCAGCACTTTGGGAGGCCAAGGTGGGCCGATCATTTGAGGTCAGTAATTCAAAACCAGCCTGGCCAACACGGTGAAACCCTACCTCTACTAAAAATACGAAAATTAGCCAAGTGTGGTGGTGTGCACCTGTAATTCCAACTCCTCAGGTGGCTGAGGCAGGAGAATCACTTGAACCTGGGAGGTGGAGTTTGCAGTGAGCCGAGATCCAGCCTGGACAAAGCACGACTCCATCTCTGAAAAGAAAAAGAAAAAGAAAAAGAATTTGACAAATTCTCTTGAGGAGTAAACTGCTGGTGTGGTGCCCACTTCTCTGTGCATTGCTTTTCTGAGAGACCTTAGTTCCTCAAGTCCTGGCTGCCTCGGCCACCATCTGCCCTTGTTTCCTTGCCCCATCCTCATCTTCTACTATTGGAAAATACTTCTAGTGTAAAAGCACCTCACAGGATGATGCCTCATCTCTATGAGGTTTCCAGGCTGCCTTAGAAGTTCTCAAGTGCTTTCGTACTAATTAAATCTTTCACTGGCCATGGTGGCACATGCCTGTAATCCTAGCACTTTGGGAGACCAAAATCGCGTGAGGCCGGGGTTTGAGACCAGCCTGGCCAACATAGCAAGACCTCATCACTACCAAAAAAGCTACAAAAATTAGACAGGTGTGGTGGCATGTACGTGTAGTCCCAGCTGCTCAGGAGGCTGAGGTGGGAGGATGACCTGAGCCTGGGAGGTTAAGGCAGTAGTGAGCGAAGATCGCACTATTGTATACCAGTCTGGGTGACAGAGTGAGACCCTGCTCAAAAAAAGAAAAGTCTGTCTGGGTTTTTCAGTTGTTACTATTGAAAGTATGATCCACTGCAAGCTACTCTTTTATAGCCAACTTACAACTTATTACAAACCCTGTAATATCCTCTTACAGGGTTTATTAGGATGGAATTTGCATTTCTATTTCTATTTCTAGTTCATCTTGTCTGTTTTTGGTTTCTAAGAGAAGAAGGAATACAAATCATCTTTATTCCGCCATCTAAAACTGGAAAGCAAAGTATGTGTTCTTTGTTTCTTCCAGTTAATGAATATGCAGGACACAAAGGGTGTTTAGAATATATATTAGAAAATTGAAATGATTTTCTGAAAGGAGCTCCTAAAGCAGAGGGATAATGAAGAGACAAAGTGAAAAAGATGCATGAAGAAGAAATCGGAACTTCTGATGTTTGTCAGTTTGGAATTGTATGCATTTAAAGAATTTAATCTATAAACTACGCTTTTAAGTTAGATAAGTCATTTACCTAGATTGGAGGCTGTTACACCAAAATTTAACTTGCATACCTATTTGGTTTTGTAATGAAGAAAGGATGAAATGAAGAAAGGATGTCAGGGTTGTAATATTATTTCATGCTGAAACTGCATCTTTAAAATGGTTGTCTTAGAACAAGTGTAACACAATAATTGAGTGCAACATCATACTAACCTGTCACTAGTACTCAAACTAATTCGAAGTTTAATTTTAAAACTGAAAATTAATTGTCCCTTCATCTAATGCTTGCTTACCCTAATTTTAGATAAAGTATCTAAAAGATGATAAATACCTTTATCCACGTTTTAAATTGCAGTTCTACATAGGGGGAAATTCTAAATAAATATTAAATAATAGAGAAATGATTTAGTTGCGTGATAATCTTAATACTGTGGAAGAGTGGAGAAGTGCATTTTATAAAATGGCAAAGATGTTAAAAAATGAATAAAAATCTTGTGCACTAACACTACAACTAATTAAATGTTCCTATACGCTTAAAAATATTTGTATCACTTATGTGAGCACCCTTGTGCTACAATTTTGGGGATACGAATTTCCTTTAAAAATACTATTACATTACTTTTATAATTATAACACATTTCAAAAACTAAAATGAAAAGCAAAGAACACTGGTAAGTAGTCAGCTAATGGGCATACGTATAAAGAAGCGTAGAGACTGAAACCTTCCTGATGATAGGAACTTTGTCTTATTTACTGCTATGTATCCACATTCCTTTTTTTTTTTTTTTTTTTTTGAGACGGAGTCTTGCTCTGTAGCCCGGGCTGGAGTGCAGTGGCCGGATCTCAGCTCACTGCAAGCTCCGCCTCCCAGGTTCACGCCATTCTCCTGCCTCAGCCTCCGGAGTAGCTGGGACTACAGGCGCCCGCCACCTCGCCCGGCTAGTTTTTTGTATTTTTAGTAGAGACGGGGTTTCACCGTGTTAGCCAGGATGGTCTCGATCTCCTGACCTCGTGATCCGCCCGTCTCGGCCTCCCTAAGTGCTGGGATTACAGGCTTGAGCCACCGCGCCCGGCCCCCCCTTTTTTTTTTTTTTTTTTTTGAGACGGAGTCTCGCTCTGTCACCCAGGCTGGAGCTGGAGTGCAGTGGCACAATCTTGGCGCGATCTCAGCTCACTGCAAGCTCCGCCTCCCAGGTTCACGCCATTCTCCTGCCTCAGCCTCCCAAGTAGCTGGGACTACAGGTGCTCGCCACCACACCCGGCTAATTTTTTGTATTTTTAGTGGTGACGGGGTTTCACCGTGTTAGCCAGCATGGTCTCGATCTCCTGACCTTGTGATCCGCCCACCTGGGCCTCCCAAAGTGCTGGGATTACAGGCGTGAGCCACCACACCCAGCCTATCTACATTTTTGAATATTACCAGCCTCAGTAAATATTCATTAAATGAACAAAAGGCTAAAAGTGTATAACTATGATGTTCTTATTTTTGTGGTAGTAAGCATTATTTCTTTAAAGACTTGGTTAATTTCAAGGTTGATTTAATTTTTACTACCATGGTTTATGATCCATTTGTTTTATTTATTCTTATAGATTATACATTTTCCTCAAGCTTCTTACTGATACAAAAGTATTACAACTGAGTGAGAGACTTTCTTAACCATGACATGTCTTTTAGAACCACATGATCAAAGAACTGGAGGCCCGTGTCCAGCAGCTGACTGGAGAAGCAGAGAACAGTAATTTACAGAGGCAGAAATTAATTCAAGAAAAAGCGGAACTTGAAAGATGTTACCAGATAACGTGTAGTGAATTACAAGAAGTAAAGGCAAGGTATTGTCTGAAATCAGATATCTATCAGGTGTAGCTATAAAGTGCTGATATTAACTGTATAAGTTATCTGCCAAAATTAATTACACCTTGTGCGTTTAGCCATGGGAAGTTCCTAAACTAAATACTGCTCTTTGCTTGTTTGTTTGTTTGTTTATTTATTTAGAGACAGGGTCTCTGTCTGTCACCCAGACTGGGGTGCAGTGGCGTGATCATGGCTCACTGTATCTCAAACTCGGGCTCACGCAATTCTCTCTCCTGATCCTCCCAAGTAGCCAGGACTGCAGGCATGCACCACCGTGCCTGCCTAATTGTTCTGTTTTTATTTTTATTTTTGTAAAGACAGGGTCTCACTCTGTTGCCCAGGCTGGTCTCAAAGTCTTTTTCTGAAGTGATCCTCTTGCCTTGGCCTCCTGAAGTGCTGAAATTTCAGGCATGAGTCACTGTACCTAACCTGTTTTTAACATAAGCAGAATGTTTAGAAGCAGTTGACAAAATGATGGATACTTATTTAATATATTGAATGGAAATGTATTTGGATTTTGCTGGTTAAAAACATTCATTTTAGAGATTGGTTTTAAATACATTGGAAGTCTATTTTATTCTCTTGTTTTTAGGCGTAACACACTGCATAAAGAGAAGGACCATCTTGTAAATGATTATGAGCAAAACATGAAACTGTTACAAACCAAATACGATGCTGATGTAAACCTTCTAAAACAAGAACATGCTCTTTCAGCTTCTAAGGTATTATTTATGTTGGTAGATAATCCACGTGAAGTATTTATTCTCTCAGCCTAGAGCCATAGATAGCCAAGTAGAAATTATTTGGCATTTGAAATTAGTCTCTCTTTCACTTTATTCTTAAATTAACAGGAACTTCAGGAATTTTTATTGGTATTTAAAATGTTTAAAATTCTAAATGTCTACTATATAGCACAACACAAATGTTTAATAAACTGAATTCTGCTATAAGCTAATCATTTTAAGTGCCGAAGTTTTAAAAGGAGGAAACAAATAATGCTTAGTTGTATGAATAATACATTTTATAGAGTAATTATATGCGTTATTATTATTTTGAAATCTTGGTTCTGCTTTAGTTTTATAATTAACATTTTGAAGTTTTCTGTAAAGCTATTATTTTTATGTCAGTGTTACATTTCCATAACATTAAATATTATGTAGCATTTAATTTCTGTTTTTACTTTAAAATATTTTATTTTTATATCAGCATTACATTTTCATAATATTAAATACCCTGCTGCTTTTAATTTATACTTTTACTTTAAAAGATTAATTTTTCTAGTATCTTTTAAAAACATTTTTCATTCAGATTTCTAGATAATTTTAATTCTGATTGAACTTTCAGAGGTAAAAAAAAAAGGGACATTTTTTCAATCAGAAGGTGTAATATGGTGCAAAAATCAATATTCTGCTTTTTATTCTTCTTAAAATCCTTCTAGGCATCTAGTATGATTGAAGAATTAGAACAGAATGTCTGTCAATTAAAACAGCAGTTACAGGAATCAGAACTTCAAAGAAAGCAACAACTAAGGGTGAGTCTTGTATTCCTACACAGAAGAACAATGGTCAAACACAGTTTTCTTGATTTAGATGTATAGTTGAAAGTCAATTAAAAAATAAAACTCAGAAATGCAGGTCGTCTTTTCTGATTCTTTTATCGCATTGTATAATTTTACATTTTATTTATCTTAATAGAGATTGATGCTAATGAGATGTAGAGAATAAAGTACAATATTTGAATTGGAATGATCTCTTTTGAGATTAGTTTTAAAAATAAATTTTTTAAAAATGTATTATTATTTTAGAATAATTTCCTTTTAAATTACCTGCCAATCTTCATAATTTCTCTCTTTCTTTCCCTCTTTCTTCTCGCCTCTCTCTCTCCCTCTGTCTCTCTCTTTTGCACCTTTTAGATCTTTTCTCTAGTGATCAGAAAATACCAAGGACTGTTATATGATGTAACTTCAAATTTATCATTTCTATATTTATTGACTTAGTCATTTTTAAAGTAATCTCTTAATCTTAAGGGTCAGAAAGATTTTCTTATACTGTAAAACAAGTACTTCTGAGAATAGTAATATCTTCAGATGACTAAGATTTTATGCCTTGTAGTATAAAGCTACTCAAATTTCTGCCTGTAGGGCTTACTCAATAATATACAAAACTCTGAACTAAAGTTTGACATTAAGTAGATTGACTGATTTCATTAGGTTGCTAATTTTATTGACTCTAGTATAATTTAAAGTATAGTAAATATAAACATTTATCATTCACAGGATCAAGAAAATAAGTTTCAAATGGAGAAAAGTCATTTAAAACACACCTATGAAAAAAAGGTAATATGTTTTATGGGAAGCTATAAAATATTTAAAATAGCAAATGAGGCATTAAGGCGGACTGATTTTTATAAAACCATACATTCTCACCTTTAAAGAATAACTTGTTTCTTTGTCTTTTTTTTTTTTTTTTTTTATACAGAGCCTTGCTCTGTCACCCAGGCTGGAGCAGTGGCGCAATCTCGGCTCAGTGTAGCTTCTGCCTCCCGGGTTCAAGGGATTCTCATGCCTCAGCCTCTTGAGGAGCTGGGACTACAGGTGTGCACCACCATGCCTGGCCAATTTTTGCGTTTTTAGTGGAGAGGGAGTTTCACCATTTTGGCCAGGTTGGTCTCAAATTCCTGGCCTCAAGTGATCTGCCCGTCTCAGCCTCCCAGAGTGCTGGGATTACAGGCATGAGCCGCCACGCTCGGCCAAGAATAATTTGTTTCTAAGTTAATTTCAGCTAACCAGTAATTAAATTTTGCTTATTTATTTTTCCTGTTTATATAATAAACAACTGCTTCAGTTCAATTTTTAGTTATATCAACATTAAAACACTGCTTGCATGTTACATTTAATGAGTGAAGAGTACAGCTGGCCCTTCATATCCATGGATTTCACATCCATGGATTCAATCAACCACGAATCAAAAATATTCAGGAAAAAAAATTACACAAAGGTTCAAAAACCATAACTTGGATTTGCCGTGTGTTAAGTACTATGTTGAATTCATGTGAATGAAATGATGTGTAAGCATTAGATTAGGTACTATGTAAGTTATTATGAGATGACTTAAAGTATATAGGAGGATGTGTGTAGGTTATATGCAAATACTACACCACTTTATAAAAGGGACTTGCGCATCCATGGATTTTGGTATCCTCAGGGGACCCTGGCACCAATTCCCCATGGATGCTGGGGGACAACTATGTTATTATCTTAACCTCTCATAATAACATGTTGAAATTGTATTTTCTTTCTACCAGTTTAAAAATATACAATCAATGGGATGTATTTGGTATTCTGTTGTGTCATACGTGCAACAAGAACTTTAAACATTTAACAAAGGAACCTAAAACAATGAAAGTACTGACTACTACTTGAAAAAGATTAGCAATTGTTCCTTGTTGTTTATAGTACTATTTCAACTGATATATGTTGATATCCCTCCTGTAATAACTAGGGGGTTATTGACACACTTAATACCTTAGGCAGTAAAGTGCCGAGTTTTATAGATTTATTTTTAAAATTTTTGTGTAAATTTGACAGGTACTAGCACAGTTTTTTTACATGGATATATTGCATAAGCATGAAGTCTGGGCTTTTAGTGTAACCATTTCCCAAATAGTGGACCCATTAGGTAATTTCTCATCCCTCGCCCCCTCCTAGCCTCCCACCCTTCCAAATCTTCAGGGTCTGTCATTCCACAGTCTCCACAATCTGTGTTCGTGTGTACCCATTATATAGCTTCCACTTACAAATAAGAACATGTGGCATTTGACTTTCCCTTTCTGAGTTGTTTCATTTAAGATAATGTACATGCAAATGGTGTGTGTGTGTGTGTGTGTGTGGTCTATATATATCTATATGTGTGTGCGTGTGCATGTATGCCACGTTTTCTTTATCCAGTCATCCATTTATCGACAGTTGATTCCATAGTTTGCTATTGTGAATAATGCTGTGAGAAACCTATGAGTACTGATCTTTTCCTTTGGGTAGATACCCAGAAGTGGAATTGCTGGATCAGATGGTAGTTTTATTTCTAGTTCTCTGAGAAGTCTCTATACTGTTTTCCTTGGAGGTTATACTAATTTACGTTCCCACCAGCAGAGTGTTAGTGTTTCTTTTCTCTACATCCTCACCGACATCTGTTATTTTTTGGCTTGTTAATAATAGCCATTCTGACTAGAATAAGATGGTATCTCATTGTGGTTTTAATATGCATTTCTCTAATGTTTAGTGATGTTAAGTATTTTTTCATAGGCCTGTTGGCCTTTTGTATGTCTTTTTTGAAAAAGGTCTACTCATGTCCTTTGCCTTCTTTATAATCGGTTATTAATTATTATTATTATTATTTTGTTGCTGCTGTTGTTGTTTGTTCCTTGTAAATTCTGGATATCAGTCCCTGGGCCAGGTGCATAGTTTGCAAATATGTTCTCCTATTCTGCAGGTTGTCTTTTCACTCTATTGATTATTTACTTTGCTTTCTAGAAGCTTTTTTAAAAATTAAGTCCCATTTGTCTGTTTTTGTTGCTTGTGCTTTCGAGGTCTTAGTCATGAATTCTTTGATTAGACCAATGTCCAGAAGAGTTTTCCTAGGTTTTCTTCTAGTATTTGTAAGGTTTCAAGTCCTACATTTAATTCTTTGATCCATCTTGAGTTGATTTTTATATATGGTGAGAGATAGGGATTCAATTTTATTCTTCTGCATATGGCAATTCAATTTACTGACCACCATTTATTGAAAAGGGTGTCCTTCCCCCAGTATATGTTTTTGTTGACTTTGTCAAAGATCATTTGGCTGTAGTTATGTGGTGGTGTTTCTGGGTTCTGTATTCTGTATTACCTAATAGAATACAGATCTATTTTTATGCCAGTTCCATGCTGTTTTGGTTACTATAACCTTGTAGTGTAAGTTGAGGTGAAATAATGTTATGCTTCCAGTGTTGTTCTTTTTGCTTTGGATTGCTTTGGCTAATCTGGCTCTTTTTTAATGCTATATGAATTTGAGGATTGTTTTTTCTAAGTCTGAGAAAATGATATTGATATTTTTGTAGGGATTGCATTGAATCTTAGATTGCTTTGTGCAGTATGGTCATTTTAACGATATTAATTCTTCAAATCTGTGAGCATGAGATATTTTTCCATTTGTTTGTGTCATCTACAACTTCTTTCTTCAGTGTTTTGTAGTTTTGCCTCCTTTTACCTCCTTGGTTAAATATATTCTTAGTTTTTTTTTTTTATAACTTTTGTAAATGGGATTGCTTCTTGATTTGGTTCTCAGCTTGTTTTTGATACTTAGAAATGCTACTGGTTTTTATACATTGATTTTGTATCCTAAAGTTTACGGAATTCAGCTATAAAATCTAAGAGGTTTTTTTGGAGGGGAGAAATCTTTAGGGATTTTTTTAGGTATAAGATCATATTATCAATAACTGATATAATTTGACTTCCTCTTTTTCTATTTGGATGGCTTTTATTTCTTTTTCTTGCTTGATTGCTCTGGCTAGGACTTCTAGTTCTATGTTGAATAGGCATGGTGAAAGTGAGCATCCTTGTCTTATTCCAGTTCTTATTGGGATTGCTTTCAACTTTTCCCTGTTTAGCGTGATGTTGTCTGTGGGTTTGCCACACAGATCCTTTATTATTTTGAAGTGTATTCCTTCTATGCCTAATTTGTTGAGGGTTTTTATCATTAGGGTATGGTCAATTTTATCAAATACTTTTTCTGCATCTGTTGAGAAGGTCATATGGTTTTTGCATTAATTCAATTTATGTGATGAATCACATTTAATGATTTGCATATGTTGAATCATCCTTGCCTCCCTGGAATAAAACCCACTTGATCGTGGTGTATTACATTTTTGATGTGCTGTTGGACTTGATTTCTTAGTATTTTATTAAGGATTTTTGCATATATGTTCATCAGGGATATTGGTCTGTACTTTTTTTGTTGTTCAGGCTTTTAAAAATCAATTTTGTCAATCTTTATCTTTTAAGTAGAACATTCATTCCATTTGCATTCAAGGTTAATGTTCATATGTGAGGTTTTTTTTCTTGTTATAATGTTGTCTAGTTGTTTCATAAATTCTTTGTTTCTTTTTTCTCTGTCTTTGTGGGTTGGTGTTTTGTCATGTCGCTATTTAATTTCTTTCTCTTCCTCCTTTGTGCAATTGCTTTGTAAGACCTGTAAGTTTATACGTAATTGTGTTTTTATGATGTTGAATACAGAGCTTTCATTTACATGTTTAGAACTCCTTTGAGCATTTATTATAGAACCAGCCTAATAGTGACAAATTCCCTCAGTATTTGCTTGTCTGGGAAATACCTTATATTTCTTCTGTTTATGAAGCTTATTATATCAGGATATAAAATTTGTGGTTGACAGTTTCTTTTTAAGCACTCTGAAGATAGGATCCCAATCTCTTCTGGTTTGTAAAAGGGTTCTGCTGAGAAGTCTGATGTTTTTTTCTTTATAAGTGACTAGATGCTTTTGTCTTGTTGAGTTTAGGATTTTTTCCTTTGTGTTGACTTTAGACAACATCTGGTGACTATTTCTCATGGTGAATTGCATCTTGCAATATCTTTTTCTAGTGTTTGTTGCACTTCTTGTATGTGGACGTTTAAATCTCTTGCTAGACTACAGAAGTTTTTGTCAATTATTTCCTCAAATAGGTTTTCTAAACTTTTTGCTTTTTGTTCTCTTTCAGGAATGCCAGTGATTTGTAACTTCAGTTGCTTTATGTAGTCCCATACTTCTCAAAGGCTTTGTTCATTCTTTTTAAATTTGTTTTTAGTTTATTTTTGTTTAACTGCATTAAGTCAAAAGTCATGTCTTCAAGTTCTGAGAATTTTCTTTTCTGCTTGGTCTAGTCAATTGTTGAAGCTTTCAGCTGTATTTTGTAATTTCTTAATTATTCATTTCCAGAAATTGTTTTTTCTAAGATATCTATCTCATTGGCAAGTTTTAAAAATTTATATCCTGAATTGATTTTGTGATGTCTTTGTGTTGGTTTTCAGAATATCTTTTATCTCATTGAATCTCTTTAAAATCAGCATTTTTAATTCTTTATCTGGCATTTCTTTTTTTCTTTTCTTTTTTTTTTTTTTTTTTTTGAGGTGGAGTCTCGTTCTGTCGCCCAGGCTGGAGTGCAGTGGCGCGATCTCTACTCACTGCAAGCTCCGCCTCCTGGGTTCACGCCATTCTCCTGTCTCAGTCTCCCGAGTAGCTGGGATTACGGGCGCCCGCCACCATGCCCGGCTAATTTTTTTTTTTGTATTTTTAGTAGAAACGGGGT